AAAGTCATTTTTAAATTTCCTCTAGTGGTATCTGATCAAAGGATTATTATGATAAAAACTTTTAAACCCTCTTTTTCAAGGAGGAATATTTATTCAGTCCAATAAAGTATTTTAGAAAGAGTCAATATAATTTATTTCATTTTTCCTACACTTTGATTTAACACAGAAAATATTCAGTAATACTCCATTGCACTAAGTATTTTCAATAAAACTGGTGATCAAGAAAAGCTTTACATTCTTCTGTGTGACAACTGAGGATTTTAACTGAAAAAATACCGTACTCTATAAGCAGGGCCATCTAAAGTATGCTCAAATCACTTGAGCACTTAATTTTTCCATATTTTTTGTATCTAGACTGAAACAGAGCTCAGAAAATTCCAGAGACAGATGGCTGATTCTAAAAGAAAAAGTCATTTAGTTGTCATGGTCATTGTCACCGTCAGTACCTACTATCTTATACTTCGCTAATTATACTTAACTTTATCATGCTGCTTTATGCCTGGGAGAAGACAAATCATTAATCAATTATGTACACTAATTACAAATGCTACCTTTAGGAGGCGTTTTAATAACTTAGTAATAGGGTGAAGTGTTTCTTCTAACTGCTTACTTTATTTATTTATTTGTTTTTTGGTACTGGGAATCGAATGCAAGGCCTCGTGCTTGCTAGGCAGGTGCTGTGTCGCTGAGCTACATCCCCAGCCCTAACTGTTTACTTTAAAACACTGTTGATAAGAAAAATGTTAGCCAGGATGCACTGAACAATTACAAACACTTAATGTACACTTTTGCACCATCTACAGAAACTCTTTTGCTCCTCAAAAGTAGAGGTATAATTTTACAATTGGTTGAGGTCACATGGAAAATAAAATTATATGCTAATTTGTTGCTATATTAAGTTATCACAGAAGGTCAGACGAGTCACAGTAAAATGAATTCTGAAAAAAATTAACTAAGTAGATTGGTATGTACCATATCCAAGTAAACTGTTTATCTTAATATAAGAAAGATTTTAAAAGGTATTTTACCTTTTTGAAAACAAATAATTTTAACAACTCCAGGCACTGACGTGGGTAATTTAAAAATATTTTCTATGAAGAGATTTTTTTTCCTTAAACAAAAAACAAAAAAATGGGGCAAGGTAAAATTATTTTAAGAGAAGAAAAGAACAGAAAAGGGCATAGTATGAAAAAAGAAAATAATTTTCCAAAAAAAAAGCTTTATTTATCTATGTATTTCTTAAATTCAACACATAAATAGTTCTCATGTTCTATAAAATGAACACACAGGTTCAAACTAAATGATAGAGTCATGAGGTGGTAAGTACTATAATTTTTTTATTTTATTTCAAACTAAACTAAACAGTATAGGTGTTTTTTTCTTAGCATAGATTTGTCTGAAGAAAATAGGTTTTATTTAAAAGACACACGTAATTCTATGGGTATCACATGGCTATATGGCTAAAAACCAAATTAATGCTTGAAGAGTCTGGACTAACAGTTTCACATAAGATAACAACACATCCTTCATATTTCTATATTTCAAAGGTCATTTTACAGAAAAAGAGAAAGAATTTGGGGAGCAGGTAATAATGGAGAAATGAAATCCTATAGCATACGGAATCATAGGTGCAGTATTTTATAAAGTACTCAGTTTACTGCAGGACACAACAAAGATAGGTGACAGCGACATCTGTGTCGTTCCCTTAGGCAAATTCCCGGGAAAAACATAAAACAATAATTTTGTGTTCTAGTCTATCCTTTTTTCCATTAAAAGATGTATTTCCATTTTATTTCAACATTGTGAATGCCCTACTATAAGACAGCTAGTACTCACAAAGAGCCATTTGAATTTTCTTTAAATCATAACTAATTTTTAATTTTTAAAGGGACTTTACCTAATGACTTTAATGATTTTATGACTATTAGTTACCATAAAATGAGTTAGGTTCCCATGAAATATCAATTTGACATCTTGTTTAAATACTTTTCTGCTATATATTACCAGGATTGTTTACCCCATTTTCTCCTTACCAAGTTAGATATGGAGATACCTACTCAGCCATAAAATCTTCACACGCCTCCACACATACACACATAGTATACATTTCTTACTATCATTCTTGTTTGAGGATTTTATGTACTGGGCTCTTAAATCCACTGAAAAAGGGGAGAAAAATCTGACAAAAATGGAAACAGGCACTGATGCCTAAAAAATCAGGACTTAAGTAAATTAATCTTCATTTCCACTGAAAGCAATCTGATGTCCAGAGACTGAGAGTTAGTCTACCATAAAATGCGGCACATTAAATACTACAATGACCTGCTTGAAATATCTTAATGTAATTATGATGTCATCTACAAACCACTGTACTATAGTTATATTTTAATATTCATTACCAGCAGTTCCAAAGCAAAATATATTAAAACTGTAAAAATATTAAGTTGGTTCAAGATAACATCAAACAAATCAGTAGTTATTCTGTGACTAAAATTAAGACTCAAAATATGATTTGAAAAGAACTGCTAAAACAAAGGTAAAATATTTGGCCCCTTGGTTATCACAAGTGACACTATCATTCCTGGTGGTTTGCTTATAAAATTCTGTATTTCTACCAGCTAGCTGAAAAGAATGCAAAGCTTCTTACAATCAGCTAAAAAGAAAGTCTTTACCATGTCCCTTGAAAAAGCTCATTTTCACATTACTCAGGCTTCATTATGCTAAATCAATATTCGTTTAGTCACTGGGGTTATTGACATATTTTAAAATAAAAGTATACCCTTCAGCTACTGCACTCATTACAGGTAATTTGTCTTGTCAGAGAGCAGGGAATATTATCCTAGTCTTTCAGGGGCTGACAGCCCATGGAAATACCTCCCCATGGTTACGACTGTAAATAATTTTAAGGTAAAATATTGAAAAATCAATGACTGTTTCCTGCAATCTGTCACAAACAAATCAATCATAATCTGTACTGCCAGAGAGTATGATTTGAAGGAGATGGGAGCAGATGTAATTCTTGGCTGGAATCTCTCATTTCAAAATCACTTCACATAATGGTGTCATCATTTAAACACTTAACAGTCAGTGCAACTGCCACTGCAACATCTAGTTGGACAAAACCACAAGGAGGAGGAGGAGAAAATGCCATCCCTATTATGTTAACAAACATTTAATTTAAATGGTTGCTGCATTAGTAAATTTCCACTGAAAACAGTTTTACCTGCCCCTTTCGCAGTTCTAAATTAATCAAGCTGCTTTCTATGTTCCAATACCTACGAAATTAGCCCAGGACTCAAATTAGACTCTCTAAAGAACATATGCCTTTTATTTTAAAAGTCCATTACAGACAATAAATTCTGAATTAACAAAACATTTGGAGTGCAGGATATCCCCATTTTATCTTATAAAAACAGTCAAAAAAATATTGTCATAGATGTTAAGATCATACTTTTATGACTTAAAAGTAGGCCTAAATGTTTCTGTTGCCCAGATATTGAATTTTATATTTTCCTTCTGTTCAAATTTGTAATACTGAAACATATTTTAAGATGACCACTAAGAAATGGTCAATTTGAAAAATATCCTTGCATTCCATGCAAGTTATATCATAGAGTGATAAAAACTGGAGTAATAACCCAAATATACGTAGTGTTAAAGCTGGCCAAGGTCATAATACTGGACCATTTTACAAATGTAAACTGATATCCAAATAATAATTTTGATGCCACTATTTTTTTCTAGACTACACTTTATGGCTTCTTTAGCTGCTTGTACTCTCAGTGTAGGCATGAATAAATAATCTACAAATTGGTATATTTCCCCTTCCTGTTAAGCTAGCCAAAAACCTATTTGACTTGAAGATTAAAGTCTTTTTCTAGAGGTCTGTGTTTTTAAATATATACTAGTTCCTTTAGTGGAAAAAATCAATTTTAGCTATCACATGTCTTATTAATTGCCTAATTATGCCCTTTATTGTTTTATTAATATTCCTCCCAGACATAGTTCAAGGAGCAGATATTTTTGGTGACTAGAAAATTATATAATTTTTCTAAGAAAGGAAAACACACAGATATACATACCATTACACAATTTAAGCTTGTATAAACATTCTTAGACAAAGTACTTAGCCTTTTATGAAGACCAATTTACAATTTGATCGACATTGTTACTGTGGTAACACAGCAGCAAAAGATACAAACTTGTCCAACAGGTACAAACTGAATCTAGTTTTTGTTCTTCGAGATTCTAAGATTTCTACAATGCTAACAACAGGTTTTTGAAAATGAAAAAGCACATGGGTAAATTATCAAAGACATTATCCAGAATAAACCAGAATATTCCATTCCCTGTGAATCCCTGCAACAGCTGCAAAGTACGTAATGCAGCAAGCCAACTAGCATGTGGAAAAGGAAAATATTAGCCATGGCCTAGGATTACACCATAAGTGGGAAGGGACCTGCGGCTCTGAACGAGGGAAAGAACCCATGTGTGTTTCCCTGGGTTCCAGTTCACCAGAACTCCCCAGGCTGGGCCCAGTCAAATTCTTGCCAGAGCTATGAAACCAGTTGCCAGCAATCAAGTCTTCCACGCAGAGCATGGCTGTGACTGGTAGTAAATCATCCTGAAGAGAACATATCTCCCTAAGTGAACACAACAAAGAATTGGGAAGGAAATGAGGACAGTTCAACAACATGCTAAATGCATGCATGTCAACCACAGACTACAGTGTCACCCATTAGACTGTGCAAGACACCACTGCAGATCTAATTCTCAGAAAGAAGCTATTTTAAGAGTGCTGAGTACGCTGAAATGATATTTATCTGCTCTCCCAATACAGCCCATTGCCCTCGGAGAAGCAGGCTCAAAACCTTAGCAAAGGAAAGAAAGGTAGTCCTCAAATCCCAAATTTAAAGAAACTGCTGCCTCGTGAACAAAGCTCTATATGTAATAAAGGCTAGGGGTTACAGAGAGAAGTATTTTAAAAGAGATAATATTACCTCCCTGTCTTCTGAATCTCCTCCTTCCAATAGCCAGTACAGCAGCTCCGTTATGAACCGTGCACTGTTAAAGAGAAAAAATACCAATAGTTAGCTGCATCTCTCAGACCACTTCCTTCCTTCATGGAATTATAATTTAATTACCAATACTTCAATTGATTTTATTCCTGGATGATACATTTTTCAAAAAGCATACTCTTTAGTTATTTCCACAAGAGAACATTTAACACAACCTTCTCAATTAATCAATCAATTAACCCCTAACTGTTGAAAGGATGTTCTTTTCATATTTTCAAGATAATGAGGGACTCACACATCTACTTTAAATAAAAGGAATAGAGTTTTAATACATTTAAATACCTTCAGTATATATTAAATATGCATCTTAATAAATCTGGCTGACGACATGAGAAATTAACAAATCTACACATTTAGATATTTTCTATATCTCTTCTTAGAAAAAAAATCACAAAGTTGGATCCTGTTATGTATTAAGTTCAACAACTCTATTCATGATTTAAAAACAAAACAAGAAACTAAGTCTAAAGATAAACAGAGGAATCAGATTGCTCAAAGCTAGAATTTCTTTATATTTGTACTGTGTATTTTCTAACTTGCTACGCTTCAGCTTTGAGTTTTGCACGAAGCTCCATTTCCTTACATACCCGTCAATAATAGGACATAAATATATTATTAACAAACAATTAAATATCATTTCATATTACAGTAAAAATAACTTTAATTGGCTTTGAAAGTATCTATAGAGAAACACTTGCCCTATTGAAAGCTATATTAACTATAGCTGCCTTGTGTAAAATTAGCTTTTTTTTTTTTTGGTCACACAACTATCTTTATTACTTAATAGAATGTTCAGTACCACTAATTCCAGTTCCTTGCTTTACCCACTATGCAATAGAAAGTAATTCTTTTTCAGCAAAATAAATCTTTTTCATGTTTTTTTCTTCTATCTGTATTTAACAACCCTATTCTGATGAGAAATGACAAGTTCTGTATATACCTGTATACTCTGTCATTAAGAGTTTGGTACCGATGAACATGCTATTCTCCCTAAATTTATTCTTCAAAGAAATAGATACTGAAAATAATCCAAAATTTTGATTTGGTATAAACATATTATTTACTTTAAATAACAATTCCAGTTCTATAAACTGTAACTTTACTTTTGATTTTTATGAAAAGCAATGAGTTTATAAATTTCACTCTCCGATGACAGCATTAAAATAAATTATTCAAGGTAATTCCAGGATAAATGATAAATAAAAATAAATGAATTATTCAGTATTTTTGTATTTACTGCATTCCTATTTAATGCAGTTAAAGAATTTTAATAATCAAAGGCCTTGAGTGGCATTCTCAGCATTTTGCATGGAGTCCCTATTATCAACAAAAAAATGTTTTGGTAAAGCCAAACCTAGTGCTATTTTTATTTCATACATAAGCACACCCAGTGTGTGCAGACACTCACTTGCAGATGAGCCTTGGTGCTAGGGCAAATGTCAGCCAACATTTGGAAGAACTCCATAGTTAGGAAGTGAACTTAGTGGAAAACATCCAAATGTATTATACAAGCATCATACTTATCACCTGCACAGAAGATAGAAATGATTTTGTTTAAGGAAACACAGAAGAATAGTAATACTTTTGGGATATTTGATAGGAAAATCTAATCGAATTTTCTCCAAGGTATCACTCTTCATATTACAGCAAGTAAACAAATAAAAGCTGTATCAAGGTATGGAATATCATTAGCTCAAGAAAAGGCTAGGAAAATGGATTACATAAATGACAACTGCAAGGGAAAATTACATTCCCTTATCCTGAACAAATGTTAAATGCATCTTACTAATAAAGACTTGAACTCAAACTACATTAGAATATACTGGTTTTCAATTCTGAAGCATCTAAGTTAATCTGCTGAGCTAAATTGGTGCTTAGGTATACTACAACTATAAAAACACTGAAAATTTATGCAGAAATAAGTCATCAGTATCATACTTCAGAGTACTGCTGTGAAAGCAAACCATTGTCATCATTGAACTGGGAAAACAATTCTGCACTTTACATGTTATTTGAACTGCATCAGCTGCTATTCCATTAAGAAAAATTATTCTTAATGAAAAATTATTCTTGATGAAACAGCTAACAAATATCAAAAAGATGTTAATACATTGTAGAAGTTGAAGAGAAATATACCAAAATATTGAGATACTTTCACTCAAAACAGGCTGTGCTATTTCAGAATTCATAATCTCTTTCAAAGAACACGTTTAACTCCATTTAGGATTACCTGATTTCATTTACATCAATGTTATCAACTAAAGAACACTTTTAACTTTTTGAGATTTCTAGAATGTGTAAGTACATTAATTATTTATATTTTAAAAGACAATGGGTAACTTATGTCCCTATTTCATCTTTCATTTTTAACTTAATATATGAATTCTTATGATAACACATAGATAATAGCATAAGGATGGGGATTATGGCTGCCAGAGGAGAAAAAAATTTGATGGGTTGGTTGGAAGATAAATAAAGCAATTATCTCAAAATTAACGCTCTTGTTTTACTCTCAGCAAACACATCTAAATAAGTCTTCCTTTGATTTTAGTTTACCACGTAATTCTAACTAGCTAATTATCCTTGGAGTCAAGAATGAGCTGTGACTCTACACCTGGCTTTTCCGATCATGTGCCTGAGGTCGGCTCCACTTTCATTTCCTCTTTCTGCGATGAGTTTTAATATTAAAGGAAAATACACATACATCGTAGACACACACTGATGGACAGCCAGCTTCCAGGAAATCAGGAGCTACAAAGAGGGAGTAAATCTTAATGTGATACTTAGGTTAAAGGGTATTAGGTGCTGGGTAACTCAAGGTAATAGAATCAAGAGCATGTATCCGTCTTGCTATTGTTTTTGCATTTGGAGATTCGGAGTAAGAAACAGTAATATTATTTTAGTGGTGACCCAGGTTATGGTTCAGATCCTTAAAGTATTATTTCCACTTGCTCATCAGTCCAAATTTATAAAACAGTATCTTGAAAGAAATGTAAGTTTTCCTCTATCTCTTAAAATAAAAAAAGCATTCCATAAATATTGTAGCTAGGTACTTGACAGGTAAAAGAAATTGAGAGCCGTAATACATTCAATGAGACCATCTTTTCCATAAAAATTAAGTGATACACATTTCTCATATATTTATGTATTCCGTTTCTTCACATTAAGTGTGCCTTCCTATACAGATTTACTTTGAACATTAATAAATGTTTGCCTAACAATATACTGCTCTGTTTTATGCCTCTTTTTCGAAGTTAAAACCCCTTTAATCCACAAAGGCAGGGTACAAAGAAAGCTGCCACCAGGTATTGCCAAGAGGCCACAAGTTGTATTAGCACATTCCGGGACACTTAACATTAAACTATCATTTCTCTCCAAAACTTCTGTTGCCAAACTGCTCACAAAATCTAGAAGCTCAAAGAGAGGTTTCAAGTGCAATTAAATTCTCCAAAAGCCAAACTGTACAAAAATATGCCGCCCTTCTTAGGTCTCCATTTATAGACAACATTTTCTCAGGATCTTAATTAAGATAACGATGCACACCTGTGTCAACATTCTCTGGCAAGACAGCCTTATCAATCATAATCCTTTAAGTACACTCGAAAACAGCAAAGCGATATGACAGAAGCAGTCTGTTGCCTTTCTTGGTGTTGGTGTTGTGTCTCTCCCACAAGAATGATGGGATCTTTACAATACAGCAGACCTACTTTTATGAGTCTTTAAAGTTTTAACTGTAAATAGCTATTACACTGAATAAACAGGAGTAACCTCTTTGGCACCTGATGGAAACAATGACAACTGCGCAGCCAAAACTTGAAGAGCAAGCTCCCCATGTCTGGGCAACCCTGTCGTGGCTCTTATTTTAAAGCTCTACATTTTAGGAGTTATACATAACTGGATCCGTGCAGGCATGACAAACCAATAAACCCTTAGGAGGCTTTAAAATGAAGCTTAATAGCCTTAAGTTAATAACAGTCAGAGCAAACCTCTCCCTAATGTAAGTTAACATATTCAGAAAGATACAAATGCAAGAAGAAACAAGAAAAAAAAATTCTTGCAAACATGGAGTGAGAGGGTGGAAAAAGTGCTGCCAATGAAACTGTATATCTAACAAGTAAGCAAGTTCTCAAATGCAAACGCTGATTAATAAAAAGGAGATAAGGAGGGGGGGAAGGGTGGAGGGAGAGGGGAACAGACCCTCACCACTATAAAGATAAAAATTTAAAACCTCGTGTTTACCAGTGAAAATGTGAAAGCTTTCATATAAAAACGGAGAAAATCCGCCAGATGCTATCAGAATTCCGCCTGCCTGCTAATGATCAGCCCTTTCCTCTTACTACACAATTCTATCTCAGACGCCGGGCGACCGTGGCCAGTCGAGCAGCAGAACTATCAATGTGCAAATAAAGCAGAAAATAGAGACATCCTTAAGAAATGAGTCTTAAATTTGACGCAGAGCAGAGGTGACAACCACAGCAACAGAACCATAAATTCTAAATGTTTCAATATCTTGCAGGATTCTCTCCAGTCCTTGACACAAAAAGAAAAAAAAAAAGGGGGAGGTAGGATGGGGTAGTGGGGAAAGGGGGAGAAAAGGAACAGCCCTGTGGCCCTGAGTGGCAGGATTATGTAATGAGGATGTCTGCGTGACAGATGCAGACTCTCGGTGGCACCAACCTCCATGGCTCCATTTCTGAAACGGTCGTCCCGGACGAAAGCCGACAGTGATAGAGGGAACACTCGTGGACCGGGAAGACACGCCCACGCGAGCTGGCCGGCAGGCGGTGACACCCACAGAGGCGGGTCACCCGGACGCCCGTGCGGCCCACGCGCGAGGCTGCGCCGCGTCCCGCCTGCCCGCGAGGGGACGCAGACGCTGTCCCCCGCCG